TGACATCCGTCGAGAGTCAAGCATTCTCTGGCTAGACCAATGGGCAACAGGATGAGCAGGACTGAAAGGCAAGGGAGGCGGGGCTGATGGTCACAGGGACATTGGGAGGTGCTCCAGCTGGTGATGGATGACAGATGACAGAAAGCCTCAGATGTACATGGGGCCCCCATAAAACACCTTGTCAGCAGCATCTGACCTCCTTGCCTCCTCCATTGCTCAGGTCACTGTTTCCCTCTAGTTGGTCAGTGGCAGCAACAGCTCAGCCCTGGAACCTGGTTTCTCATGACCTCACATCCTTGGTGACGCTCTGGACTCACTACCTGCTGAAGGCAAGCCTCTCTCCAAGCCACACTGCAGAGGGGTGCAGCCTCCATCTCCTTCATGATTCCACGTGGGTCTTTTCCATCTGACCCTTGTGCTAGGCACAATAATGGCTCTCCAAAGAGGTCCGAGATGAATGCCTGGAACCCATGGGTATGTCTGGTCACACAGCAGAAGGGGGTTCCAGCTGCAGATGGAGTTCATTAAGGTTGCTGCTCAGCTGACCTTAAGACAGGGATGCTTCCTGGGCCATGCAGGAGCTCAGAATGAAGTAGAAGGGACAATGGAAGAGAGACTCAGTCTGATGTTGCTGAAATGGAGGAAGTGGGCAGGGACCAGCAAGACACCTCAAGGAACAGGTAAAGGCAAGGAGTATTACTCCCAAGAGCCCCTTGGAGGAGAGCCCTATTCACCTATGTCACCTTAACAGGGAGATCTGCAAGGCTTCTGGCTTACAGACCTGTAGAGTAATCACCTTGTGAGGGTTCCAGGTATTACGCTTACGATAAAAAAAAACATGCTTCCCCCCAAACTTACCAGGTCTGGTTGGGAACACAGAGCGTCCCCACAAACCTGCAGTTTCAGCCCTGTATTTCACCCCCCATGCCCTAATGGTAGCCCTACCCTCCACTTCTCATAGTAAGCTCTAGAAGCCCTGCCTTGGACATAGTTAGAGCCTATCCAGTCCCCCAATCTCATCCTCACCCCTCCAAGAAGGCTGCAAATGCCTCCAGTAGGACCCGGTGCTGTACCTGGGGCCCCAGTCCCCCTCTGTCTGCGCCTAAAAGGGAAGCCAGGATTCTTGCTAAAATTTTAGATATCATATCTGCCTCTGCCTGGAAATGTCCTATAGTCTGGTTGAATGTCAGTGTCCCTAGAGAAGACCATGGCCACCCAGAGCTGTGTCTTCAAACTGGAGTACATCACAGTGGTCTCTGGAGTTGGACACCAGACAAGCAGCTGGGGCCCACATCCAGGCACCATAGGTGTCTTAAGATACAAGTGTGCATGTGTGTGCATGTGTGCGTGTGTGCGTGTGTGTGTGTGTGTGTGTGTGTGTGTGTTTTACTAGAGATTGAACACAGGTCTCACGCACACTAGTCAAAGTGCTTTTCTACTGAACTATACCCTCAGCCTGTTTCTAATTTTTCATTTTGATATAGGCAACTCATCAAGTTACCCAGTCTGGCTTTCAACTCTTTCTGTAGCCTAGGCAGTCCTGGAGGCTCCTGCCTTTGCCTCCCCAGAAGCTGAGATACAGGCCTGAACTACCACGACTGAATGCTCACTTCTAACAAGTCCTGGGAATGTTCCTACGGCTGGCACGGGGACACCCTGAGAAGCCCTGACTGCTTATCCTTGAAGGTCTTTTACCTACCTGTGTGTTCGACCCTGCCTGCCCCTGGGTGTCCAGAGTTGGGAGTTCCACACCGAGATTCCAGACTTCTCTGAGAATAAAAGACCAACATCCCTAGAGGGGAACATGTCTGGAGACCTCAGGCGTTTGATGCCTGGGGTAGGCATGGTAAGTGTGCTCTTTGAAGCCCACTTGGATATGACAATGACTGAGGTTCAGTGTTCCACCCAGGCATGGTGGTTAGTACATCTGTAATCCCAGGGGCTGGAAGGGAGGGGAGAGGAAGATCACAAGTTTGGGGCTTGTCTGGGCTCCCCGGTAAGACCCTACTTAGCACCTTTCCCTCAAATACCAACCAATGCCCTATATAACCTCACCAGGCCTCCTCCACCAAGCACCTTGTTCCCCTTCCAGTAATACCTAGCTCCATTGACACTAAGCATACACTATCTCCTAGCCTCTGTAAACTCAGCAGCGGACCCCACTCCTGGCATTTAGAGGCTCCTTCATGCCCAATGGGATCAGTGTCTCTCCCCGGCCCAGACTTATGCTGGGGGGTGGTGGAGCAGCTGCGGCTGGAGGCAGACTGGAAGCCCCAGTTGTCTCTCCTTATTGAAAGGATTCCCTGACAGATTCAAAAACTCTTCACCAAGCTGCTGACGTGGTGCCAGGCACGGGACCCGGAACTATAGCAGGCAGCCCAAAGCCACGCCCCCCATACTGAGACAAATCACAAACTAACCAAGGAACCCAGATATCCAGCACCTTATGGTGAGTGTGGGGCTGCGGAGAGACCCAGGTGTGTGGGAGTCAAGGCTTCTGCAGGGAAAAGGCAAAGAAGGGTGCCACATTACCAGGACCTGAGAGACGGCAGAGATGCAGGAGATGTGGCCGGGTACCCTCCCACTGACCCTCAAGCATGGATCAGCCTCGGCTCAAGACTTGGGACTCCCTGTAGAACTACATGTCAGCCAGCCAGCGAAAGTCACCAACCCTGCAATGCTGCTTTAGCTGCAGTGGCTCTGTGGGCTGGTCAGACCCAGAACCTACACGCCGGGCACCACTTAACAAACCCTAGCTCCTTAGCCCAGTCCCTGCTGGGTCTCGGTCTCAAAGCCGAGATAGGGTCCGCTTCAAGACCCTCTGAAAAGCTCCGTGCTCGTCAGTTCCCTAAGTCCCGAAGGACTCATAATTCTGGTGTCTTACAAGTGAAAACCTCGGAGGCTCAGAAGAAAAGAGATATGGCCAATTGCACATGCGCACAAAGGACCAGGAGTACCAGCCGCTTCACCCCAGCAGTATGCAGAACAACTCATACCCCGTGGGCTGGCGGGACTCAGGCTCCTCACAGCACACCCCAGAGTCCCTTAGCCACTGCTGGCCACCAGGCACTTCAGGCCCTTAGTTGGCACCACTCCCCATCAACACAGAACATCTAGAACTTACAACTTCCCCGCTCTGACCCAAGAATGGGGGAGGGGAGAGCTGTCTCCATAAGAGAAATGTGTTCGACTCTGAATCACTTCTGTTATTACTAGTAGCCACCTCTTGCTGGTTACTGGTGATAGCAATGGTTCCAAGCAAGCAGGGCGCCGACGGTCACAGCACGGGGGTGCAGGAGTTAGATCATCAGCCCCTATTTACAGAGGGTGCAGCAGAGACTCCGCATGGTTAAGAGGCTTTACCGTGAGGATGACGGGATCCCCTCTCAGACCTCTCAGGCTGTGTGCTCCTCGCCTGCATCAAGACTCCAGAACCCCCAAAGGCACAAGTGGTCTCGAAAGGGGGAAGGAAGTTCCAAGCTGGCAGCAGGCTGGTTAGCAGGTCAAATCATACACTGTCTTAGGAATCCTATCCACTTTAGAAAGACGGTCCTTCTCCTGAGAACTCACAACCCTTAGATTGTCCCAGGCCTTGGCAAGTGTCACCTTTGCAGTGTTATGGAAATGAGGCTGACTGGTGCTTCTGGGCAGGGCAGAAGTGAGGGTCCAGGAGGGCTCCGAAACAGGGATTTGCAATGGGATGGTCCTGGCTTCCCTGGGCATCACACCTCACCACATACTCCAGGCTTTCAATGGGAGATATACAGAAGACGGTGGGTACAGGACATCTGCTGGGGGTATGTGAAGCCCTCCCCATACCTGCTCCAACCCCAATACCCTCGCATTGTTCCCCACTAAGTTTATTGCCAGGGTCCATCTCCAGCCAGGCAAGGGCTGGCTTGGACAACTTTCCTGCCCACTAGAGTCTAAGAGTCCAAGGGGGGTGATCTAAGCAGGCCTTTTCTCTCCAGTCCTCATTTACAGATTTAGAAAAGAGGCATGAGGGAGCCCTTGGCATCTGTGGGGAGTGTGCGGTGATAGGTTTCAAGGAAGGAGCCAACTCTGTCCTTAGGAGCAGAGTAACAGAAGACCTTCTATCCTGGCCTGCCCTTTCCAGCCCTCATGAGCCTTTTGCAGGGGTTGGATCCCATCCCTATGTCTAAGAGGATGCTGGGCAGCTCAGGAGACAGGAGCAACCTCCCTCCCGCAGCCTCTGGGTTCCATTCCCCAAGAACTGGGGCCTGGCAAGGTCATTAGAGTGCTTTAGAAGCAGGAGCATGCCCATCCACCCTTGAAGGAGCTAAGGCACCTAGGTGACCCTTTTCTCTCGGGCTGTACCTGGACCTTTGGAACAACTGGGGAAATTATAGCTCTGGTGTTCCCTTCTCTTAGCCCAGCTATGTGTCCCGAGAAGGGCCCTTCCTCCTAACCTGCCCAGAAGTGGTAGGGCCCTGTGACTGGTATTCCTTTCCAAGCATATTTGTCAGGGGTCCCAAGCAGATGGACAGGGCTGGTTTAAGAGTAGTCCGTTAATATTTTATTAGGACAGAAACGGAGTTGCGGATTTGGCTACTGATCTCAGGGACAGGAGCATTGTATGAGGACAGGGAACTGGACACCAGATGGAGGGCGAAAGGGACAGTCCCACCACTGGCAAAGCTCTCAAACCATTTGCTAATTACTGGCACCTGGGGTTGTGGGTCTTTTCCTGGCACCTTCACACTGGTCACGGTGTCCCGCAGGCAACCCAAGTCAGAGGCAGCTCGGACTCGCAGGCCTGGGTCAACTAGGAATGCTCGTTCAAGATGTCACCCTGCCCATCTCTCCCATCTATGCCAACGCCGGTTTGGTCTGTTCAGCCTGAGCTCTCTCTGTCTTCTAATCCCAGACCCAACCCTCCGCAACCAGGAGGGGGCGGCGTCTGAGCCAATGCAGCTAACCTTCCTCCGACCCTGGCCTCCCGGGGAAGAGTCACAGAGGGGCGGGCGGCCACACGTTACCTTCCATGGACATGGGTTCCAAGATGCCAAACTGCTTGAGGACAGCAATGAACAGCAGCACTACCACGGCCATGGCGCACAGCTCCATACCCTGGATGCCCATGGCGAGCGTGGCTGGGACCGGGGCGCACCCCTAGGCCGTGCGCTGCCTGCAGGCGCCCGGGCCGGAGCCTCCCGCCCGGCTTCAGGGGCGGCGGCTCACATGCCCCGGACAGGCGGAGCTATGGGTGTTGGTGGGGCCAGGACCCCACGGAGGAGAAGGCGACAGTGAGAAGAACTGGCCTGGCCGTGATGCTGGAGCCCGGGCGCAACTTTTCAAATCAGTCTCCAAACTTCGAGGCACAGCGACGGCTGCAGTGTGGGGTGCATCTCCCGGAACCAGTGTGAGCCAGCAGCGCCCCCATGCCCCGCAGTGGGCACCACGACTCTGCCGCCCCCTCTCCTGCCCCAAGGGCTCGGGGCCACACCGGCGGGGGGTCCTGGGCGCTCCCGGCCGCCCCAGGCTCCATCGCGGCTCCCCGCACGCTCATTGGCCTAGGCGCAGCGACCACTCCGGGACTTGTCTCTTGCGGGCCCCTCCTTGCTAGCCGGGGAGGAGGTGGGAGGGACGAAGCCCCGCCTTGCAAGGTCCAGCTCCTGACTGAGCCTGGCGGGTTGCCACTGCTACCCCGCCAGCCCTGGGGAGGCCGCGCGGTCTGCGGTTTCCCCACCCGCTGGAGGGAGCAGGGTGCCCAGGAGGAGGGGCGCGGCGGCCACACAAGAGAATCAGTGGGAGGGGTGCAGAGGATCCGGGAAGCTCTGTTTCTCCAGGCTGTTTCCTGCAAGTCTCAACCCACAGCCTGAGATTCAACTTGATCCCAATCTTTGAAGATGGAGAAGTTGGTATGAAGAGTTCTCCAGTTCTGGAAACCTGCTGGTGCTCCCGAGACTTTACGAGGAAGCTTCGGCTTTGGCATTGGAGCCCACTGAACAGAGTTCAAGTTCTGACAGCTGTATAACCTTGGTCGTGTCTCGGACTTGTAACCTTCTTCTTAGAGGGCCCATTTGCCTTTCTGGCTGTCGGGAAGATCTAAGCTGCTTCTGAAAGCTGTGCTAATTAGTTTGTGGACGGCTTTCTTCCCTTTGGGGCACTGGGTAGGGCCAAGGAAGTCACGGAAAGAAAGGAGAGGGTGGGGAGTGGCAGGGCGGAGCCACGGATGCTCCAGGCTGTGAAGCTCCAGCTGATGCCGGGCGCCCAGTGCGGACTCTCTGCTGCTCTCCAGCGGGTGCAGTGAACCGCGGGAGTCCTCGCCAGACCCAGAGGGACCAGGAGGGAAGCGCTGCTGCCGCCAATACCAACCCCTTCCTGCTATTTTAGCAGAAGGAGAAATTGAACGCTGCTTCACGTCTAAGAGCCTAAGAGTGCAGTTTCCACTTCTGGCCCGAACAACCTCAGCTTCCCTTTAGGAGCCCACGAACTACTCGCCCATTCATTCAAAGGGCATCAACACCTTGTTTAGTCCCAGGTGCAGCTCTACACTCAGGTCTATGGAAACCGCAGCAGATACTCCACCCCCACCCACCTGCGCCACCCCACCTGCGCCAGAGCTCATGTGTATGCCTTTAGATATATTTAAAGGGTTCCTCCAGTGGGCATTTCTTATCTCCCATTTTACAGACAGGGAAACCGAGGCTCAGAGGGTGAATTACGGGGGCACAAGTGCAGCTTAACCCCTTACAGTCTGAAACAGCGTTTCACCAAACAGCCAAACAGCCTCCAGCCTCACACTTTCACCTTCTTGGTTAATAAATAGCCACTTTTTCTTTCTTGTAGACCAAGCTAGCCTCGAACTCACAGAGATCCGCCCGCCTCTGCCTCCCAAGTGCTAGGATTAAAGGCGTGCGCCACCACCGCCCAGAAGGCCAACACTTTTAAGGAGCTGTAAGTACAAGGCTTTTAGTTCAGGTTGATCAGGTTGCAGTTTCCACTGACCAATTCAGAGGGCTAAGCAGAGAGGCGGAGATAGACAGCTCAGCTGGAGAACTCCGCAGGGTAAAACGTTTAAAAGGCCAGAAGGTCAAACAAAGGTCTCCTGTGACCTATAAATTATACACTTAAACACTAAGAAATACCCAGCCTAGGTCCCAGTTAGTGTCCGTATGGAGTAAAAGTCCTGACGGACATCTCGCGAGTCATAACCTCTGTAAGCCTCAGTTTCCCCATCCATAAAATGGGGTGGTAACTGGCCTCTCCTTGGTCTCATAAAGGATCCCGTGAGGCTATGGGCAGCGCTTGAGTGGGCACCAATCTCCCCATGATTTTACACTCAGCCCAGCTGTGCAGAAAGACCAGGTGAGGCAGAGAACCCCTGCGTGCATAAGAAGCCATCCCTGCGAGCCTTCTGAGGCTGGCACCCACCACTGCCATCCTGCCTCAGTTTCCCTTGGGCTCGAAAGCAGCTTCAGATGCCAGTGGAAGCGTCACTGACGGCCTATAAGCACGGAGCTATAAGCGAGTCATCGATCCCCTGACGGTGCGGTGTAAAATATTAACGAAGGCTAAGTGGATCACAGGCCCGAGAGCACAGTGGCCCCGCGCTACGAGCAGCCTGGGCTGCAGGACTAATGGATGGAAGTTGACTCCTCTGCTCACTAGAGTTGGGTCCTCTCAGGCCCGGGGCTAACGGAGGCGCGCTGATGCTAGGCGACGATTCTCTCACACGCTTCCTCCCCAGACTAAGCCTGGAGACCCGAAAGTCCTCTCTCAGCCAGAAAACGAACGACCACACCCTCTCGGCAGCCACGCCCCCAGGGGGCTGCCCGTCACATCCTGGGAAGTGGTTGCACTACACTTGCTTGGCTTTTGGGGAAAGAACAGGAGGGATAGGGTACCTGGGGGGAAATCCCTGCAGGGGAAGATGAGGGAGCCCTGCAGAGTAGCCCCCCCCCCCGTGCTTCCTAGAGTGCTCAAGGGGAGGAACTCAGATCCATGCTTCCTAGGGGGTTCAAGGGAGGAGCTCAGGTTCTCATCTGAAGGCCTCAGGATGCCTGGGGTAGCCTGGTCTAGTTTAGGGAGCTATCAGACAAAGCTGGTTGACGTCTAGAGAGGCTGCCCTTGATGACCCGTGTCTCTCGATGCTATCTCCAGGAAGACCACCAAGGTTACACCAGCCCTGCTTGGTGGCCTTCCCTGGACTCCCTCTGCTATATTTCTGGCCTGTCTCTGCCTCCTATATCCCTCTATCTCTTATGTCTTACACAGCTCTGCTGTTGGTTCTTCAAAGCTGGGAACCTGGGGATTTGACTGACAGGGCTTACTATGTCCTGCTCCAGACACCGAGCTACTCCAGACTCCAAAGATTCTGACTCTTGGGTGTCTGGACCGGTGCCACCTCAGGGGGCCATTTCCTGGGAACAGTTCAGCAAGTGGTACTAGCTCCAGCTCTCCTGGAGAACAGGCCTCCCTTACCCTTAGTTCCAGTGCATCCTACTGGGCACAACAGGCATTGTTCGAAGAACTGTTCTCGTGCTTCACAGAAGCTAACGAACTGCCAGGAGTGGAGACCCATAACCAAGAAGTACCTCACGCCATGTTTCCTGGATGTCCACACTCAGCACCCCCAAAGCTGACCTCTCCGCCTCTTCCAGCTTGTGCTGGCCCCAGTCTTCCTCCCTGTCCCACCCTTCTTCCCATCTACCTCCATGGTACCTCTGCGCTCTGGCACCAGGCCTCCATCCCTCTCTGCTTGGCCATCAGGAGCTCAGCCACACTCCTTCCATCCCTCCTGGACATAGGGCCCCAGCCCCCTACCGGCCCCCACTGCTCCATTCAGCCACCGTCTCAAGATGAACATGGATTCTGTCCCTCTGCCTGTGGCTCTGCCTCAACATCCCCATTCAGACTTGGTAAGGGCACCCTGATCGCTTCTGTCAGGATCTTCTCTCCTGAAGCCATGGGACGGTGGCTTTGGAGATTTGAATGGAACCGGCAAGCAGCATCGAGTCCTCTGTTCTGATTTGCACTGTCTTCCACCACTTCAGTGGTCAGCTCAGGTTGGGTATTAGATGGGACCAGGACCAGGAAAACCCTGTAGGAGGCTTATGGAGTCAGTGGTGCTCTGTGGAGCCTGAGAATGTTGTCCCCTCCCCGGATCTAGCTGTGCCTCATGGCGCATCTAAACAGCTATCTTCCAGTTATATGAGCCAGCAAATCCTCTGGTTATTGCCTAAGCCAACAACCTGAGTTGGGTTACTGTTTCTTGTAACCAACTCAATTGATACATTACTTATTAGTTATGAAGACCAGATTTCTGAAAAGGGAGCCAGCAAGAATACAGAACTAGAGGTCTAGGGCTCAGGGAGAGAAGAGGCCTGGTGCTCAACTGGCCTCCTCTCTTTTTTTTTTTTTTATTGTCAAGGGCTTCAGTGCATAGGATGGTGCTACTAACATCTGTGGAAACACGCACAGGCACATTCAGAGGTGTGTCTCCCAGGTGTCTCCCAAGCCAGCCCTGATGACAATGAACATAAACCAGTACAGTAGGAGAGTCTCCCTCTGAGATTTCCCACAGGCTGGATCCCCACATGGTGAAGAGGGGCCTCAGACATGCAGATCAATCAGGATGAGGTCCAGGGGAGAGGAAGACAGAGCCACAAGGCAGAAAGGATCTAACTGAACCGCTGCATGGGGCAGGGCCCACCCACCTGGGATGCTTGCTGGAGCGTTCAGATAGAAAAGCCAATACATGGTGTGTGGTGCGTGTGTGTGTGTGTGTGTGTGTGTGTGTGTGTGTGTGTGTGTGCGTGCGTGTTTGTGTGAAGGGAATCTGTGAAAGCCAGAGGTTGATGTTCAGTGTCTTCATTTAAAGCTCGCCACAGTATTTTTGAGACAGGGCATCTCACTAAACCTGGAATAGACTTTCAGCTAGATGGGCTGTACAGCAAGCCTCTGAGATCCACCTGGCTCCACAATGTTGGGGTAACTGTCAGATTTTATGTGGGTTCTGGGGATTTAAGTTTAACTCATGCTACTAGAGCAATAACTTTACCCACAAACTATCTCCCCGGCGTCCCCCCATCTCATCAGTCTTTATAGGCATATAATTTAATACCAACCCTCTATAACAAATCACAATGTCTGGCATGCAACAGAAGATCTCTAGATATGAGAAGAAAAACATTGCCAATCATCATGTCGACTCAGAACCCAAAGATGCCCCTGATGTTGGAGCGAAGGAAAAGGGATTTCAAAATAGCAGATTAATATGTTTTCACTAGAGAAAATTGGAGCTCTGAAGAACAAACTGGGATCTGTCTCTGCTATGGGGTGAAGGTTCTGAGAGGCTCATGGGGCTAAGGCTTGCTCCCCAGCTCTCGGTGCTGTTGGGTGGTGGAAAGCTAGGGACATAGCTCAATGGTAGAACACTTGTCTAACATGTGTGACCCCTGAGTGTTCAATCCCTAGTACCTCCTCCCCCAACCACCACACACCAAGTAGTAGAATCTTTGTTGTAGAATATTCCTTTGTACTGTGTGAAGATATGTCACTGT